ACACACTCTTGTGTGTTACAGCCTGCTCAGTGTTTTATAACTAAGGTGTCACTTTATTTTTAAGCTCATTTAATAAGACAAGTTGAACCAGAACAGACTCATTTGGAGCAGCATAGAAACACATACAGTACACACATGGATCACTGTGTAGAGCTATGGGCAGCTTCTGCACAACTTCTATAATTAATTAAAGTCCCACTCCAGAAACATTTTCATTTTTATATTTGTATATAAAAATACTTTACTATAAACAATATGCAGTCTAACACAGCTTTTCCTCAAAAAAATTTCAGTGGGCCTCTGTAATAGGAATGAACATTGCCCCTCATTGTGCATTCCAGGATCTATGAATGTTGCCGTCATCCCTTATGTGGATTTGAATAATTTTGCACGCCCAATTTTTCAGTTTTTTATTTGTTAAAAAAGTTTGACATATCCAATAAATTTCGTTCCACTTCATGATTGTGTCCCACTTGTTGTTGATTCTTCGCAAAAAATTACAGTTTTATATCTTTATGTTTGAAGCCTGAAATGTGGCAAAAGGTCGCAAAGTTCAAGGGGGCCGAATACTTTCGCAAGGCACTGTATATATATATATATATATAAACCCCTGTCTAAGTTCACCACTGTGCAACCAGATCTTTTTCACTGAGCTGCCTGCTGCTGGAAACAACACTTATAAAAGTGGACTGAAGCTTGGATGAACTGCAGAGTTGGTGAAACGTCTATTGGATGCTACAACCAGAACAGATAACATTAGTGTCACTTGATATTGTTTGAAGACCACGATCTGATCCTGGACAATATCAAAAGTAATGAACAAAGTCCAAGTGAAGTATTCAGTACTCGACGATTTTAACACAGGAACACAAGTTTTCAACTTGAAATCATTTCATGTTTTTGCTCATTATTCCATCAGACAAGAGATGCAAAAATATTTAGACTCCACACAGTACAGAGGTTGATAATAAACTTTTAATTTCAAGTTATGATGGATGGCTGTGGAACATAGAATAGTATAAATATTTGTATTCCAATGCAGTTCAACATGTTGGAGACCAGCTTAAAAAAAAAATCAGGACATGAGCATCTCGATAGCAAACCTAAGAAAGCATTAATCATCGATAGCAACACAGAGCAGTGAAGCTACATTTCACCCCGTGTTGCGAGACCTCCCAGGTCCATGAATTTGGGAATTTTTAAATTAGAAGTGTTGAGTTTTTAAGCTGCTACTGAAGACAGACTTGCTTTTGGTACCACAGGTGTTCCTGGATGTTGAGATTGAGGATGACACAAGGGAAAAGATTTCAGATGACGCTCTCATCTTGATTTCATCTATTTAATTAGTGCAGCATTTTGCTGATGTATGGAGCCAAATGGGTTTTTATGCGGGTCCCTGATCACAGAAACACAAATTTCTGGAAAACTTGTATAACAATTCACCTTAACTGTACAATAAAATAATTCTTCATTCAAACACAATATTTTACCCAGACTACTTTGTTTTTATAAAAGGGGGGGTTCACTTAGAAAGTTTATCCTGCTCCAGGACCTGTCATACAGTGTATCATGGTCCAAGATCACCATATCTGTAACCCAGACACTTCAGTCGCTGAGGAGCTCATACATTCGAATTGGCTGAAATGTGTGTACATAAAAGTGTAATTGTAATCCAGCTTCCAGTCACTAGTGGCAGCAGTGCGTAGAACTCTGTGTCACACCAATGTGCCTGAGAAGCATCAATTCATTCATTTATCTGCTTTTGTAATCTTTCCAGTTATTTGTGTAATTAATTTAAAAACTGCCTTCATATTTTTGACATTCTTTCCAAAACTAATTTTATGAGCCACTCAGCGACTAAAGTGTCTAAGTAACCAAGATGACTATCAAGGATCACGGCTAGTGGTCACAGCCAAAAACCCTGCAAGAGTTTGTCTTCCATTATGATCCAAATGCTTCCTGAAAGGTTTTTAAATTCTGGAAACAGAAAACATACAATTCTAGGGGATACAGTAAATACTTTTCAGTACAACATGATAATGATTATGGTAAATTTATTAAATATCAGCACATATATTGCCAATCAGCAGCTTTAATAAAGGAACAAATAGGAAAAAGTTCCAGCCTTCAGAAACCATATGTAAAACCTTACATGCCCATCACAGTTACAGTAAATGGTGCCGAGTATTTTCGAGAATGTCCTCAGTCTCAGAAGTATTTACAAACATCTGGGTAGATGATAAGCAAGTCAAACCCACACCCACAAGTAAACTTGACAATTTTTATTAGCAATATTTGAGGAAAGTTATAATTTTTGTTAAATCTTATATTGTTTTTTTCCTTTTAACATAAACTGCACAAGATATTCACGAGAATAGATGTCTAGAAAATGTTTAGCACGAGTGCACTGACTTAGATTTTTTTTCTTTTTTTCTGTAAGTTCATTTATTAATGGCCTGCTTAAAGGCACTGCCACAATACAAGGGTGGGGCAAAAGCTACTGTCCATCACTCACACAAGACGGTCCATTCTAGTGTCTAGTATACATGGGGGGGTGGGGGAGTTAGTGGGTTGGGTTGCTATAGGTAAATCTCATAAAAATCGTCCAGCTCCTCGTGAAACAAGTCCCATTCATCCTCTGAATCTGTCACATCGTCATCAGTTCCTGCAGCAAGCAGCATGAGGAGCATCTCACTCAGCTCAAATGTCACCATGTCATCATCCTCGTTGTCAAAGGAATCAGTGCTTTCCCTCTCATCCAAGATATCCCACAGCGGTGTCCGCCTCGCGTTCTGTGGGGAAAGATGATTTTATTTTCAAATGATAAAGGTATTCTGGGGAAAGCAACTTAAAGGATGAGGCTGGTCATTTTCTATGTCAACAGTATTTCAGATGCTCCCCATACAGAGACTAAAACCAACAATGAATCACCTGTGCTCACGGTTAATGTCTACACATCTGTCAGTCCTGATTTGTCTGTGCAACAGACCTTCACTGTTCAAAAACAATTAAAAATGCATCAGTGAGACACACCAGTGCACATGGTTTGTATGTTTCCTCATTACAAAACATAAGACCTTGATAATTTTTAAACATGTTGCCCCAAAGGCTCTGACCGGCCACAACATTTTACAGCATCTGTAAAAAGCAATAATCAGCTGCCCATACGAGAGATCTCTGGATAAAAATTAGGGTCTTGTGCTTTGTAATGAGGAAACATGTCACCCAGTGCAGTGGTGTGTTTTCCTGATGTGTTTTAATGGTTGGTTAATGGCACAGCTCTGGTGTATGGGGGCTCCGGTGGATTCTCTGGATGAGAACTGGCAAACTGAGGGCTCTGCTCTTACTAGACGGCTAATAAGTCTGGCAACACTTAGTGTTTTAGAGCAACTTTGATACAAAGAAACATAAAAAGAACTCTCACATTTCGACATAAAAAAAAAAGTGTGTTCTTTTTATGGGTGGGTGAGGTCACACCAGAGACTTCTGCTGTGTCTCTTACTACCACTTAAATCAGAGGCAGTACCCGCTTTGTGAACTAAAACCCGATACATAATGAACACACACACACACACACAAAACCTGCGCTGCACAAATCAAGCAAATAAACCTGTGGAGGAACAAGAGTAGAAAAACTGAAGTGGTGAAAATAAAAAATCCAGAACTAAAGTCTAAACTAACCTATTCTACATTTCTCTCAAACACAATACCATGATCACAATGTTAGAGTACAATTTAAAAGGGAACCAAACCCGAGCCACTAATGTGACAACACTGCCCATTGCGCTTCCATCATACTTCCTTCTCCACCTTTTTCTGCTGCTGTAGTGTAGGAAAATGCAGCGCTTCATACCCTCAAAGATTAATGTTATATGGTATCGGTATCGAATCTAATAACCAAATACATTCACTACAAAACTATCAGCATTTGCAGTTTAGTTATATAGGCTATATAGGAATGTAATCTTTAGAAGGGAGCTTGTGTGTTTTTGCCCAAGGCCGGCAGAAAAAGTCAGAGGTACAATTTTGGGGAGCCTAAAAAAGTAACAGAGCCTGGAAGCAACTGTCTTCTTTCTGTAGCGTGGAGTTGACAACCTTGATTAAACAATGAAAAAATGTAGACATAATGCAATAACTGCCAGCGGTACGATGCCTCAAAAGGCGTATAAGGTCTGAACATGTAAGCTTAATGAAATAGTATCTATTACTGTAACAGACATGGACACTGATTAATATGCAGGCAGCCACTGCCAACCAAGCGCCTCAGCTCGGCCCTGTGGTCCTACTATATTCATCCACCAGCAGTTCGGGACATTAACAGAATATTAAAATTATCAGTCAGCCTCTGCAGTAAACTACAACAAACATTGCTCCATCTCACGGATATATACAACACTGCGGGTGGCTTGCACACACGGTGCTTTGGGGTGTTAACGTTAACAGGGTGGAGGTGCGATCCCCGTGTCATCGTGGAAGATACACAGCAAGAGCAGGGGCCGTGCACAGACCTGTCACAGGTTGGGCATGGTTCTACCGTGGTCCAGCCAGCAATTTAAGATGTCTGCATCTGTAGCTAGCAAAATATCAGCACACAAGTTCCACTACCAAGTCTGTTAAAAACAAAACAAACTAACAAAAAGAAAAAGGTTTGAGCCTCTAAAACAGTGATCCACTGCTAGCAACATCAGCAGTATAGCTAACAATGTGCCATTTAGTACAGCATCCCCCACAGCGGAAAACCCTTGTTTTACTACTATAATGTGAACTTACCTTTAGATATCACTAGTGTCTACATAACCCACACCAGAATAAGCAATTTGTCATAAAAATCTAAATTTTTAGCACTGA